GCGTGCGTGCGTGCGTGCGTGCGTGCGTGTAAGTTTAAGTTTATATGTGTGTAGAGAAGGTATCAAGACGATTTAAAATGCCAGATTTCACACAAAAGGAAAAGCACCAGTTTCAAGAAGTGGTTGCATAAAAAAAAAGCTGTTGTAGCTGTTGTACGCCAAATGCGTGAGTTCGATTCCTATGTGGGGAAGCTAATGATATGAAGAATCTGTCTTTCCACTGGCAAGCTGTATCCCACTCAGTCTGGGCTGTCCCTGGCATACGGGGTAGAAGCAGCCTGCTTCCTAAATTAGCTTAAATGTGCTGAAGGGGTCGGGATGGGGTATAAAATATTAATAATTAATTATTAATATTATTACTCAGTGCTGGAGAACAGAAGACAACAGACAGTTTTGTTGTTTAAATAAAGAGAAACACATCCATACAATAATTTAGTGCTGGCGGAAAGTAAAACAGATAGACACAACTGACGGAAAGTAAAAAAAAGGAGAAGTAGGACCTATCAGTGGTGCCCTCCAACCAACTGTGACAAAAGATAGAAAAACGCAAAATATGATGGGAAATAATGAAGGGGCAATCAAGAAGCTCATCCAAACCATGAGTACCAGTACCAGTCATTGAAAAGTGTTCTGTTCAGTTTTACTAAAAGTTTTATATTTCATGGCACTTGCAACACAATCGGGTCATATAGTGTCGAAGATTAGAGGTGTTACTAGAATGTAACATATAAAAAAAAAGAAGGAGAAGAGATAAGGACGACAGATGTTTGATAGGAAAGAAAAAAAACAACCAAAAAACATATCAAAATAGAGTCTGTTATCTGCAGGACTACTGGATTTTCTTCTGTTTAGAAAGGTTGCTGAAGGAAAAAAAAAATCTGGAATTTTATTTCCGTCGAATTTACTGCTGTTTCTGGATTAACAGTTTTTGGTTTATTCAGACTCCACTCTATTTCATTCTTAAGAAATATGCAAGATCCAGTTTCCATTCTCTACAAGTCTTTTGCACACTGTAAGAAGTTCAAAAGTGCCAAAAGTACCATCATCAAAAATCTTTGGTGAAAGAGTATTGGTTTAATGCCCCTATCAACACTATTACATGTATTAGGTTATTTAAGAGGCAGGACCTCCGAGTTTAACCTTCATCTCTGAAAGGACAGAGCCAAGGAAAATTCATGGAAAGTGCCTTTTCCAAGGACATAACATCGAACTGAGTTGAGGCCTGAACCTCCGAACCCACAATCTCATGATTACAGGTCCGGTAGCCTAACCATTTGGCTACCTCAAAAATCTTTTCCTTTGACAACTCAAGTAGGCTTATAAGTTCAAAGAACTCAAAACAACTTTTGTGCATTCAGCAGATTTCATTTAATTGACAAATAAAACTGTCTCTTTACAAACATTGTTGCACACACAAATAAAATTGAGACTGGTCTGAGTTAACAACAAGAGTCGACTGAACAAAACCCGTGTCCCACTTACACTACAGGAACCCTCTATTTCAAACTGATTTAATAAATGAATAAAATTAAAAGCAAGAGAGTTTTCTGTACTGAATCATGAGAGCTAAGCGTATAAGATAAATGAGGGCCACAGTTAGGAAAAATGAAGTGCCCGGGATTTATCTGTCATTCAAAACGTGCTATTACATGGACTGCATGACAGCTTTGGCAAACAATTGTGTCATGACATGTTGGAATCAGGCGCTCGTCAATTTTTGGGCATATGGGATCATTGGTATCATCTTAAAGAGTGTTCATTTGCCTTTCTTTTGGTGCAAAAATATCCAATTATTTTGAAAAGAAGTCGAAATATTTGCAATTGAAGGAGGTCAGGGCCACCTGGTTTCATAGGTAAAATTAGCGAGAAAATGGCCATCAAAGTTTGGTAACTTCCATAGCCTGAGAGTCCTTGGAAACTGAAAATTAACATTTTTTGTGCCTTTAATCAATGTTTTTCAGTAATATCCACATAAAAATGTGTTTTTAAAAGGACATAAAAGGTGTTGAGTTGATTTTATTATTTTGACAAGCCCCCGGTTTCACCACAATGCCTCACAATTTATATAGCAGCAGTCGAAATTGTCTAAGATGGCCACCCATTAAAAAGGAGAAAAGTGGTGGCTTTAGACAGGTGGACGCCTTACACAGAGTCATTGTAATGTTTAAAATAGAAATGCAAGGGGCAAAATGAGAAGTGGCTGTTTGTACAGAGGTGATTATCTTATACAGGCCGCCCTTAGGTTTGACAGTAAATAGAATTTGTATAGCCCAAATCCTTGCTCAATAGCAAGCTCTATACGTTTTAGAGTCTCTCTGATTATTATTCCAGCAGACGGTAGAAGAACACTCAGAAATATTCTTGGCTTCCTAGGAAGCATATAGATTACTTTTCTCAGTCTGGATTTGTGTCAATAAACTAGAAACGGAACTCTTAAAAATGTGCTCCCCTAGATTTGAAATTTGTCCTCAGGTCTCTGATTTCCAAGAAAAAAAACCCTCCTACAATATGCCAGTCAGCAAAAACATAAAATGGCAAACTTTTAGGAACACATATCCATCTTTGTACATCATTTGTGCTTAATACGTAGCTTCTGGTATTAATGTACATATATATAAAAAACAGTTTATGCATATATGATGAATAAAACATACACACAAACACTAAGATTGGTATTTCTTCAAAATCAAAAGGAAAGGTGGGCCAATTATCTCCCTCAATTTTTCTCTTTCACACATATATTTTTTTTTTTTAAAGAGAGAGAAAGAAATATAAAATCACAGCCATTAGTATGTAACACATTAGCATTTTTATCCACTTACAAGCTCCCTTGAGACTGCAAGAGATAAAGTGTGAACAAGCTAGCAAAATGATTGAAACACACCCTGAGGAAAAAAATTCTTAGAAAGTATGAAACATGACTGAAAGGATTTGGAAGGGAAATAAAAATTGTGAAAAAGATGGTTACTGACAAGGCGCAGCTGATTATTGCATTGCAGTCGTATCACTGTGAGTAAGGTACGGTATGGAATAGGATTAATGCCCCTTTCAACAGAGTAAGCCAGTTGTTAGTACAGTGGAACTCGGATTCAACGAGGTCGCCGGGCCTGACCTAAAATCTCGTTGAATCCGAGTGTTCGTTATAGCAAACATGAGGTTTTGTGTAGAAAATTACAGGCACTGAGCAAGCAATGTATACAGAGAAGTCACAAGTAGTGCCTGAAATGCCTGCATATGATGAGCTGTGTAAAAAAAAAGACCCGATTCGTTCAAATGCACGCCTGTGTCATCTCGATTGTTCACCAAAAAGTTGTGTTGCTGTGTAGAGCCTAGCACATGGCATCTTTTGATTCCATAGACCAGCAGCGCTCAATTCATTCTGTAGATCTATGTCAAGACTAACTTATCATGGTAATAGCGATCAGTTGCCGAGGGAGAAAAAAGACTGTGACGCATTTGTATCTGCGAGACGTTTAACGCCCGGATCGTTAGTGCCCCCCCCCCACCGACATGCACACACAGCCACACGTGTGCATGCTGCCCATCCGACCCCAACACATGCCAGAGCAGACAAGTGCGCGTGTCAACACCGCATGTGTTGGTACATGTATGAAAAAAGGCTGCTGATTGGTCGTATGAAATCGGCTAAGTGAATAATGGTTCACGATCCAGGTGCAATGGATCGTTTCAAGGAATAGATAAAGTTCGTTTTGGGAGAAAAATGAGCGAGGCCACTGAGGCTGTTCACCCTGGAAGTGACCTTGTTGAATCCGAGCTCGCTGATTTAAGTTCTCGTTGAATCTGGGTTATTTTTATTGATTTTAAAGAAAGAAAAAAAACGGGGAAGCCATCTCATCTTGCTGAATCCAAGTTCTCTTTGAATCCGAGCTCGTTAAATCCAAGTTCCACTGTATAGGTAAGTAAGTTTACACAGTGTTTAAGGCCATAGGCCCACATCACGTCACATAAAATACTCATTTGTTAACCAAAGTTTCCATAATAATTTATATAACGAAAAAGTACAGGTTGTGCACATATATCAATGGGTCAGACATTGCATATTTCTGTCACTGGGCCGAGTCAGGCTGGGAGGAGATAACAAAATTAATTTGGACAATAAAAAATAAAGAGAAATTTGTCTTCAATTTCATGAGAGTTACATCTCTCACAATGTAAGAATGTTTAAGAGGCAAACCTTTGAATTTAATAACAAAGTCCAATATATGACAAAACCAGACAGACGGAGCACCACCATGAATACTCCCCTAAGAACCAAAAGTCAAGAATATCCCATTGGCGATTCAAACCAAGGTCATCCGCTCCACAGCCCAGCATGATACAAACAGATCAAAGTTCACCGCCTGTAATGATTGACATCTTTGGTCATCAGTCAAAAGTATGAAAGTTTGAGATCATCTTTCACCAACCCAGTCAAACTCTGTGCAAAACAGGAGGAATGTGAGGCAATGAAAAAAATCTGTGACTGACAAATATTGTAAATGACAACTTCAGGTAGCAGATGTTCTTCCCTCTACTGTACACTCTATCACATTAATTTATCATTTGTGGCACAAAGTGGAGGAACCAGGCGCTCGCCAATTTTTGGGTATATGAGGTTATTGGTATCAACTGAAAGCCTGTTCATTTTCCTTAGATCTAGTTTTGGGGAAAAAACATCAATCTACATTGAATAGAAATCGAGAAATTGGTGATGGAAGGAGGTGAGGGTTGCCTAGTTTCAGAGGTAAAATCAAAATCAGAGAGAGAGACAATGGCCACCAAAGTTTTGAAATTTCCATAGATCTAGCTTGAGAGTCCTTGGAAAATAAAAACTGAAAAATGCCAGTTTCTTTGATTTCATTATTGCGACGAGCGCCTGATTTCACCACGATGCCTCACATATTACATTACCAAGCAGAAATGTGTACAAAATCCATCATCAGCTTTGACAACACATCAGAGGCTGTTCCGCATATCAAATCTCCACCCCCTGAACCAGTGCCCATGAGGATAAAAGAAAGAGTAAGAGACAAGAGAAACCATCAGAGTGCTGAGTCGAGTATCCATTATGCCTTGAACTTCCGAGACAAATAAGACATTTTCTCGCGCAATATCAGACAGCTTATACAATAAATGTGGCAAACTTTCCCTTAAAAGGCTCAAAGGAAACACTCCTATTCCAAATTTCTTTAAAAAATCAAAACAATTCTAAGATAACACTGGTAATGCTGATAAAAATCTCTACAAATAAATGTAGACGTCAAGTGATGACACTGTTCTCATCCTTCTGATGACAACACGTATGCGCATTCTTTAACAACAATGTACTACGAAGCTTGAAGTGATCTGGAAGTGGTGTTAAACAACAAAACGCACACCCCCCCCCCTCCCCACACCCAAGAGTATATGGACGGCGGTCACTGTAACTCTCATTTTTACCTCCTTTGATCCTTTGAGACATAAAGAGACAGTCATTCAGTTACTTCCAGCCTTGCTGTTGGACATAGTATTATCACCGCCATTTCCATTTATGTTTTCAATCTTTTTCTATGTCGTTATCCATAGCTATAAATCTGGTAACACATGAGCATGATTATCTAATCTAAAACTATCATAAGAATTTTCACATAAATCCTTATATTTGATTTCTAGACAGTAAAAAAAAAATAAACGAGCTAACCTGTTTCACGACCAAGGAATCAATGGCTAAATACTTTATTGAGTTGTACAACTGAGAAGTGAAAAACTTAATCAGCATTAAAAACAAAATTGGGATTAGAAAATCTTTATATATATATATATATAAAAATAAAGATTTTTGCGTTGTATTTCTTCAATAAAGTGACATTTTCAGGACCCAGCTTTTTCAGGCTTCCCCAGGACTATTGCTGAACACAGTGAGACACCTCTATACAAATGCAGAACACAATAAATAGGCTACATGCCTAGTGACAACTGGTCAGGGAACAGACAATATGATGCATAAAATGTAAATTTAGAACAAAATCAGTGTGGGACCAAGTAGACTGTAGCAAACTGAGGTCCTTGATGATTTCAAATATATAAAAACAGTTCAAGTTTTCAAAATGTCAGTTTTCAGGCACTTTGGCACTTTGCACATTGTCCACTTACAGATAAGCCCACCCTCAGCTGTGCTGCTGAAGAGCAAGTGTACATTATAATATTAAAGATAATAATAATAATAATAATAATAATAATAATAATAACAACAACAAATAGTACAAATCTTCCTGCCATTATCCATCGTCATTATCTGCTTGCCGACCGTCCACACCAAAGAATAAATTAAAGATGTGTCCACTGCCATGTTCTTGTAGGTAGGTATTGAACTGGCCCAGGTCCATGTGGTATTCTCTGCCTTTGCCACCACGAGCATTTAGAACCAGCTCCGAGAAGGAATCAAACTTGCAGCCATCCCGCAAGTCTCCGGAACTAGGAGAAGGGTCCACCTGGAGGATGAAAAAGGATGGCATGATGAGAGAATTGAAAGAAGAAAGGGAAAAAAATAAAGCGCTGTAGCTGAAATAAAAAAGTTATCATAAAGAATAAGGAGAGGGAATAGATCTAACCCCCCCCAACACGTTTGAAACTAGAAATAAATTGCAGTAAAAAAAAAACTGACATGGGAAAGAATGTTACACAGAATGTTGAAAGACTTTTAGTAAACGAACAAGCCAATAGCTAATTTTAGCACATTAGACAAACCATTTCTTTTTCAATACAACCGTACCATTCTGCTCCTATATCCATAGATATAAATTCTCAAATATATATTCTCATCAAGATTTTTCTGTTGCAATTGACACATAGATCTAGGAAGCTGCATTCCCAAAATATGCAAAACACCACATACCTAAATTATGACTTACGAAGTGCATGTTCTAAACTTTTATGAGCTATTTTATTCTCTTTACTTGAAACAGACTAACTCTATGCTTTTATTACTGTTGTTTTTGTTGTGTAACGAAGTGGTAAAACCAAACATTTGAAAACTGAGAGTTTAGAACAATTATAATCTTTTCATTCACACACAAAATGTAGTAGGCTACTTACATATATACAACAAATAAAATCTAATCTGCAGATACAGGAGAAAAAATCTAGCATTCATATATTTATACTTCAACCAAAAACACTGATCATTCCTACCCCATATCAAAATATTGTCTTGAAACACGAATACCAAAAAAGGAACACATCCATCTCTTCCAATGCACGGGTTGTTACAATATCCAAGACGTACAAGAAAACAATAAATAAAATGAAACGGTAGGCGATCTGGCCCGAATCCCAATGAAAAAAACGATCACATTCCCGCACCTATGGCCAAAGGGGAGCAACCGAAAATAAACAAAAACTGCATTAATATATTATCGGTTGTGTCCCTTGTTTATTCTCACGAACGTTCGACAGTTTTGTGAGTCATGTTCTGAGAATAATCACTTGCTCTGGGCGGGGTACAGCTCAGGTAGCTATGTTGTCTGTGGTGCTTAAAATAGTGTTTTTATGAATGTCCATTTCTATGGTAATACCCTTGTCTGGTTGCTCTTTCTGCGCATCCAGCCTTGCCATCCTGTCCACCAGTTCTGCTCCTTAGACATCACGGTGCGAAGGAATCCACCGCAACATGAGTCTGTCTCACGCATGGCATGCCCTCCATTACCTCTCACAGCCTACTCCATTTCAGAATTCAGTCTTGAAACACGAATCTTGAACGAAGTGACTATTCGGACTCGAGTCCGAATAGAAAAAAATTATATTCGGATTCTGAATTCAGTCCAGCATGACGTCTGTTCCGACTTCCAATCTTTGTTCCTAAATATTTCCAGCATGTAAGAACTTTTTTTCTATTATAATGATAACAGTCGAGACGTGAGCTTCATTATCCCGTTACTAGATCTAGATCTATCTAAACTGGCCCTCCCTACATCATTAGTATGAACAGAACGACTAATTTGAGCTGACCTTGCCAGGGGCAAAGTTAATTTATGTCCACCAATGAGATTGCCCGTAGCGATCTCGCACTCTCCGCTTGCAGGGAGAAGAGGTCTTGGGAAGAGACCACGGCTGTCGGTTTTGAACGATGTAATAAAAAAATTAATAATTACAGAAAAACTATAACACACAACAAAATGAAATTAAACATGTGGAAAGGCAAATGGTGGTGGAAGTAATGATAATGCTATAGTGGTGGTGGAAAGACCCTGAGTTGTCGGTTACAGTTGCCATTGGATAGATCTAATGAGAGTGCAGTCCTTTGACTTTTGACACAATTACACAGTCCTAGTGGGCAGTTCTAGTTCTAATTCTAGTTTTACATAAAATCTCCCGCCGACATTTATATAATGTAACCTCCATATACTCACATAACTCACTTAGAAGCTGAGTCCGAAAAAATAAAACCTTTTTTTCGGACCCGAATCCGAATAGATAAAAGTCCATATTCGGACTACTCGAGTAGATAAAAATTATATTCGGACTCAAGCTGGCCATATTTGAAACTCGAGAATGTGTTATCACATTTCAGACCCTTCCGGCCAAAGGGGGGTAACTAAAATAAACACAAACTGCTTTAAATGAATTCTTGGTTATGTCCCTTCTTCATTCTCGCAGATTTACATCTTACTGGGTCCTGTTCTAAAATCTTTGGTAAAATAACACATAACGGAACAGAAAAAAAAGGGATGTAGGACTAAGAAGCCCCATTAGGGGAAGGGTAGTGTGATGAGATCTAAAAAAAACATGACAACATTATTATATATATTATGTATTCAGTGGGTTTAAAATATTTCTTGTATTCCACCCTTGACCCAGGGTAAAGCTTTAAGCTTTAGGAGTGCAGCCTTGATGTATGTGTGCAAGACTGTCCCACTTTTGCCACTTGTATGAGAAGGTCTTGGTTTCTATACTTTGTCTGTGGCTTTCTTCTCCTCTTCATCATTACTTGGAAAATTACTTTTTTCAAGGCCACATAATTTCGTAATGTGATGTACAGTCCATGCCGGCTTTAAATGCATGGTCATCGGGAGAAAGCATAAGCGTGCTTAATGCTGAAGCATGCTTGAGTGCGAAGTAGATATAATCTAGATATTTTCAAGTAGGAAATTTCATGAGTTATTTCCCTTTATTTGCAAGTCGTGGTCGCGCAAAAGTGTGCGCTGTCATTTTTACCCGCTACGGTAGTTTTTGTTTGTTTTGTTTTTCTTAATTTAGACGGCCAGTCACGATACAGCACACTAGGCCTACACACTACCTGTGCGTACCGCTGCCCGCTGTGCCACATTCATACTACCGCCTTCATCCCACCTCACGCTTGATACGTAATCAGGATTAATCGATAGCGAGGGTCAAAGGTGAAACTACAGCCAGCCTCCCTTTCTCGTCTCCCCGACTCTCTTTGCATTTTTTTTTGGTTTGTATGTAGCGCTGCCCTAGGCTAGACCCTATGTCCATGCTTGAGGCCGTGTGCATCTCTCTGCCTTCCTCTCCCCCTGTGTGAGTGTATGTGATTGTGTGAGTGTGTGTCTCCGTCACTTGCATTCTTTGTGTTTCTTTTAACACACTCCACTGCTGCAGTGTAGACTGTGTTCGAACTTCCATGAAATTATTGACTGTTTTGTAAATGAAGCGTGCCCGAAGCCGAAGTTACCGTGCTTAAAGGCGTGTAATTTATTTTGCAAAAATTTGGTAAGAGCCATTTAGCGTGCTTGAGTCCTATGCCGGCGTGCTTAAAGTTGGCACGGACTGTACCATCTCAGCATTTTTGCAGAATTGTTGTGAGAAATTCATTATGGCATTGGTATTAGTAAACATAAAATTGCAGTCCCAAGGCATTATTAAAAAACCCCCCCATAAAACTAAAACAACAACAACAAAAAAAACAACCATGAACCACTTTACAAACCTCCTGCTCCTTAATGCAGATTTTCTTCCAGGTCATCCTCCTGATGCGGTACCAGAATTCGTCCACGTCACATGTGAAGCCCTCCGCACAGATGACCCCTGGCTTTCCAGGCAGGCTGAAGCCGTGAAGTCCGAGTTCCTGCCCCCACTCCTGAATGTCGCGCCGCTTGATCTTGCTGTATATGTGGTGGCTGTACACCCACAATCTTGTTATTGTGTCTCTAAGAAGACAAGAGTGAAAAAAAAGAAAAGAAAAATAAGACAAATTCCAGGGAACAAGGCACAATTTTACAGTCTAAATATTAGCACATTTGCATTATGTGGCATACCATAATTTTGAAATTAAACTAGCTATTTTTTTCTGCCTTTCCCAAACATATAAGCTTTTTATAAATATATTTTATGGAACATAAATATTTTACTTCTATGCAAAATGGAATACAAAATTCTATTCATGACAATACGCAGGTGTTCACCATTCTTTACATTTAAGATATAAGTAAAGTGAACCTTTGCATATATGTATACAGTAGTCTCCACCTAAACGCATGGTGCTCGGGAGGGCTCCTTAGCGTGTGCTTATACGAAGCGTGCGTTTACATGAACCTTTGCAAGGGGAGGAAGGGACGCAGTCATCTCAATTCCTTATTACTCTAGTGACCTCCCTTGGAGGGAGGGGGTCATTTTGGCAGATAATGTGACGACACGTGACTGTTTTGTGAAGGATTCCCCGACAGGGGTTAAGAATACAAAGGCGTTGAATGGGGGGGGGGGGGGGAGAGAAAAACAAACTCAATGTAATGAATATGCACTGTAAACGTCGGGAACAGATAGCCTAAGAGGAAACTGTTGGACATAGTCATGGAGACGACGGACCAGCCACATGGCTTTTCAAGCGACCACCCCCGACTGTAAATTCATGCAGAATCATCCCTGAGAAACATTTTCTCTTGTGATTCGTTGAACAAGTACGTTATTAGTTCTTCGAGTGCAGCTGATTAGGCTTACTTGACTAATCTTTAAAATCCTATAGAGGCCTGTCTAGTGTTTTACGGCATTTGCGCGTGTCGCGCACCAAGCCTAGATTTAACTAAACATTACACGCAGTCACTCAAACACCAGTCAGAAACCTTCTCTCAAAGATACATTGTCCAGAGACCAATCAAAAAACATTTCAGTCCCCCCAATCCCCCCCCCCCCCCCACCACCCCCCAACATTTTACCGACCAGCCCTAGATCGAGGCCTATGCGTCAGTGGAAAGTAGGGTGTGTAAATGCAGTCCATCACTCTCTTTGTACAGCGTGAGGGGCACTCTCACCAAAGATCCCGTTTTCTAGTAAATTTTAGGCTTGTCTTATGCAGGCTGTGCAGGTTGTAGTGAAAATTTCCCCTTGACAAGCTTAACTTGCCGGCGTGTTTCGCGGATCGGAGCGTGCGTTTAGAGGGAGTGACCGTGTGTTTGTATGTCTACATTATATAGTAAAAAAAAACGTCAGATGACGAAAGCGCGCGTTTGAGCGGAGCGTGCTTTTGTATGGCGAGCGTTTAGGCGGAGACTACTGTACTTCAAAACACCTGATTATTTCTATTAGAAAGGTCATAGATCTAGTAAAGGTCTCGGTCTGCATCTCTTCATTGAGTTACCCTCAAAACTGTATTGTCAACTAATCCAATTCTCCACACACAAAACTGGCCTTTCTTATTAATCTAATTAGCCTAACTAAAAAAGACAAATAAAAACTAACAAATACCTCCCAGAGTCTGTTATCTTCTTGGACCCGGATCCTACTTCTGTTTTCTTAACTTTGTTGTTGGTGCCGAGGAAGGGCAGCTCTTGATACAACCTCTCCTGTAGCCACTCTACCATCATCCCAACCACAAGCTCATCTTCCTGCAAGCTCTCCAGCTCTGGAAAAAAGTTTCAAAGGATAAATATTCCCAAGCACAAAACACAACACAAATTTTGCTTTCTCAAACACAGGAATCATGTTGCATTTTAAGTGTGCAGCGATGCCATAAGTAACAAAATTGAATGGTAGAATCCAACCTTCAGAAACTTGTTACAGGATAGAACAGAAGATGATTTTGTTAAAACTATCAGCATGAAAAGGGCAAGCAAGATAATTAGGAATAAAAAGTCTTTAAAAAACTTTTTTGTAAAAAGCCGACTTTTAATCTTTACTGCCTTGTAACGCAGTTCGAGCAAACCCATCCTGCAGTATCTTTCTCAAGGCTCTCACTGATGTATTCTACATTGGTATCATAGAAATGAACTGAGAGTGAGCTGTTCAAAAAGGCAAACATTTTTTTCTGCTGTTCAAACTCTCAATATTTTTTTGCCAAGTTTTCTCAGGTAGTGGTTTAAGGCACTCAGTGTGACCTAAATGTGTAGCTTATACACTGGAAAGAAAAAGAACACAACCCCCCAAGAAAACAAAACAAAAAAGAATATGCCAAACAAGTCACTTGTGTAAATTATTTACGTTTTTGTAAATCTTCCCTCAGTTCCTTGTGTCGTTCCCGGCTCATATCTGAGGCTCTAGTGAAGATTTGTGGCTTTACAAAGGGGTACTCATGGGGCAGCAGGCATACCAGCACAACTGTCAGCTTCTGTTGGGGAAAGAACATGAATCTTAAATCCAACTTACTGCAAACAGACAAGAGTGAGGGGCCGTCAGCTTAGCAGGTGTCACGCTAGGTCATGGCGTGGATGGACCCGGTTTGAATCCTAAAAGAGGCTGTTTAGGGAGTTGCTAAGGCTCTCCACCTATGAGTGGTGGATTCAAGATCCAGAAGCTCTGCCTCTTAAAAAAAACTTATATTGTTGAAAGGGGCATTAAATCCATACAACCATCACTTTTAAACAATGAAATGGTAGTGATTATTAGTATTACTATGTAGCCTAGTTACCTTCCTTAAAGACCTACAAGGGGCATACCAAAAGTTTTTTACCTGACCATGAAGGAATAAAGGTAGAAAGCTGAAATTTGGTTCTAACCTTAATCTTTCTTCATGTAGTCGCCTCTCACAGTTATACATTTTTTGCCATCGGTGTATGACCTGGAAAAGATCTTGAGAATAAAAGACCCTTTCTTTGTCAGAAAATCAGCCCTCTACAGCTTCTTAGACTTCATCTTCACTTTCAGAATGCCTTCCTTTTACATTCTTTTTCAGTTTGGGGAATAAAAAATAGTCGGACGAGGATAAATCTATAGGGTGGATGTGGCAAAATTTCAAGGCCCCTTTCTCGTACAGTTTCTGCAGCTTTACTTGAAGTGTGTGCTGGCGCGTTTTTGTGAAGCAGCAAAATGCCTTTTCGGATCTTTCCTCAGCATTTTTCTTTTATAGCCTCTCAGAATTTTTTTTTTGCTGGTTAGAATCTAATGGACTCCGCTGATCGTATGTCCCTTTTTAGGATAGTCTGTCATAATCACTCCTTGTTCCCAAAAAAACTGATAGGGTTACTTTTCCACTTGATGGCTGCACTTTTCACTTCTTTGGTGTTGGAGATGAGGGCGATTTCCACTGCATTGATGCTGATTTTGACTCAGGATCGTAGTGGTGGACACATTTCTCATCCATGGTTAAGTTTTTCAAAAAAAGTAGGTTTCATGTGTTTGCGAGCCTTGCAAGAACAAAAACTTCATTACTGTCCTGTGCTCAATTTTCTCCGTTTTCATGTTGAAACTGGAGAACAACATACCCCCATTCACTTACAGTGCACTGGTGTTAAAACGAGGGATCTGAAATTCTCCAAAATTTACATGCAGTCTAGGAAGAAGATTTCAACCCAAATTTCAGCTTTCTACTTTTATTCCTTCATGGTCAGGTAAAAAACTTGGAATGCCTCTCGTACAAGACCCACAAGTCAGAACGGAATCCCAGCTTCCCTAATTCGATGGCAGTAGCGACTTAACACCCCTTTCAACTTTAAAAAAACCTAAGAGTTGTAAATCTAATTTCCATCTTCGATAGGATAAAAAAAAAAAGAAGTGAAAGAAAGGCAAGCCATTAACCCTCAAAGCACTGCTAACAAATAGCCTGTGGTGCCAGGGACAATTATATGATTTCCCCACAGAAAATGTTTGAGGACAGGTACACAAAGGGAGGGAAGGCCATACACCGATATTTCAAGAAGGAAGAATGGGAGTAGGGCTCATTAGTGAAGGAGCTGAAATGTTTGGCAATTTAAAAACAGGATATGCGTAGCGAAATAACGATTCAAATGACAGCTCATTAATTAGGCCACGACACAACAGAACACAATTTACAGACTGGCTGCCGACACTAAGAGAGTTAAACTCCCAAAATGATTCAAGTTAAAAAGTGTTGGGTCATCAGCACTCTAGTCAGCATGATAAATACCACATGAATTAAAGCTTTACTCTCCACAACTTCAAGCAGAAAAGTTGTTTGAAAAAAACCAAACTCATCCAACTTGACCCCGCTTACTGGTTAGCCTCATTTTAACAGTTTCCATATATTTGAACACACTTCAGCTGATGTCGCAAAGGGTAAAACCTATATCAATAATACAGTTTGGACACATCCACAATAAGCAATAATTTTTTACCTTGTTTTTTTCCTCACATGACACTTTAATAGTGAACCCAATCCGTGTATCAAGACTCTCCAGCTCAAGGTTTCTATTCACCACAGCGCGGACAAGTTCTACTGCCACAGGATCGTCCAGTTCAAACTCTCCAGGGTTCGGATACATGGATGTTAACATGTCCACCTGATTAGAAAAAAAAAATTAGGATGTCCTCCTGCATTTAAAAGCCACATCAAAGTTGAAAGGTTAAGCTAGTCCACATAACTTTATTGCACTCAGGCCGTGGTAATTTAAATAAAGACGAATATAATGCCCAGACTACTAAAGTAGAAATAGTAGGCTTTGGAAATGAAAGTAAGGTTAGTCTTAGGCTAAAAAGACTTTTTTTTAAAAATGGTTAAATAACAGTCTGAAACAAACCAAACATATTCTGCAGTATGCTAACCTAAGCAAAACATGATTGTTTGAATTATATGCCTATCCAATGAATTATTACAGTATTCTCCGCCTAAGATCCGAGTGTTCGGGAGAAAGGAAAATGCAGGATCTTAGGCGAACCGGGATCTTGCTGAAAGGCCAGAGGGAAGAATCCACAGTAACTCATGATGAGGCCCAACATCTGTACAATGATCTCCCCTTACTTTAAACTGTACTGCCGTGACTCCTGGGCACTAAAGGTTCTTTTCAAAGTGAGTTTTCCCCCTTGTTTTGCTTGGGGGAGGGGGGGGGTGGGGCTTTAAAAAAAATTGTGTCAGGTGAGACCAAGTTGGCTTCAGGCAACGCCCCCCCCCCCCCCCCCCCCCCAACCAAAATTCTATTGCTTTCCATCTCTGATGGAGTTCCCCGACCATGTCATGATGCATCATAAATTGTTGTGTTGTGACCACACTGACTAATTCTTTTTTTAAAATGACAGGCAGGTTCACTGCTTACAGATGACCACATTCCGCAAAGGCGATCAGACAGTCCACGAGTATGGGCGCCAGTCTGTCTAGAAAGTTTTAGCACAAAACAGAGAGACAAGAGCGATGGCAGGGGAAACGTAAGCATATCAGTGTGTGATGTAAGATCAGGCGGACGGCTCAGATGAGCGGGGAAAGCAATGTGCCTATGAGTTCACACCTTAGTGCGATCCCGTCTGGGGCAAACATTGTAATGGCTTATCGATATTTACAACAGAGGTTAGATCGCATTCATGAGAGTGGATGATCCGTGACACGACAGACTGTACAATGATTGCACATTTTCGCTACCTGGTTGATCAGCCGCGAGTGCCGAGATTTATTATTCTATTTTTTTTCTTAAAAAAAAAAAAAGAAAAAAAAGCTCAATTAAATATGACCTGGAAAAGCAGGATCTTCGTCGAATGTAGCTCCTTCAGTGCGGGTCAGAGAGGGATCTTAGGGGCGACTTTTATAAAGTAAAAATTCTTTTTTTCATGGATCTCAGTTCAGAATTTTAAAAAAGGAGGAACTTTCCGCGTGATCGTGACAGAAGACTATTTCCGTGAGACACCCATTATTATCATTTGTTTAACCCTAGAAAGCTGAAATAAAAACCATTAATTTATCAAAGTAAGGTTATTTCATACCAATTTGAGGGATTAGAAGATAATTTTAAGTCAAAGAGTCACTTACCAAATATTATTTACTTTCTTGATTAGGTACAGAAAGAGGTGCCGCATTACTGTGAGGTGCCGCGGAGTTTAGCGGGAGAAAATGGCGGTAGCAGAAATCCCCTAAATAGTGGAATATTGAGAAACATGGTTTTTCCAAAACAGCGGGATCATAAGCAAACCAGGACCATAAGCGGTGGGATTTTCGGCGGAGACAACTGTATATATGCTTATGTCTAAAATCAGCCATAGCGAAGTAGGAACAGAAATAAATTAAGTCTCCGACATCCATCAGGAAAAGTAAGCTCATAATCTCATTTTAAAGCAAATACAGTTGAACCTGCTCTAATGACCACTTGTCCAAGACAATCATCTGTACAAACAACCATTTCCAACCTTGTGTTTCTTCTATATTATTATAATGACACTGTCCAAGAGGACTACTTGTCTTAGATGAATATTCTTCTCCTCCACAACAGGTGGTCATCTTGAACAGTTAGACTCAGCTGGTCCCCGAGTGGCAAACACAGCATGTGCTGTGCTCGCACCTAACATACTGGTAGTCTTAATTTTGAATTACCATACACCAAAAAGGTTAAAGTGGGAGAACAACACTGAGAGTTCTTCCTAGAGAGTTCGGCTTTCATTTTAAACACAATTATCCCAACAAAGCCAAATTCAAAGAAACCCATTTCTAGATTCCGATTTTCAGTTGTTTCTTGTTTATTTTTTTTGGTTAACAAAACTAAAATATCACTGTGCCTAGATCTACTGAACATCAATCTGAATGAAACACCGGAAAAGAACAATATTTTCTCTACGAAATATAAGAAAAGAAAGACTGAGAAGATGAGACAGACGTTACTTTAGCAGAAGTAAATATCGTGAACAGACGGACGGATTCAAACAATCAATGTCTCTGGCTTGTTGACCCACATCAATCTGAAGACACAAAGTTGTCACAGCTATTCACAGGAGAACTGAGTGTGAAAACAGATCTGATGTAACTAATCGCTGTAATTACATTGTCCTGAAACATTATTCACTTGTAAGCATTTTGATGTTTGATATGTAGGCTACTTGTATGGGTATAGTTCTTTTTATGTTATTTTTAAAAAATAACATGACCACTGGTATTTTACAAAGAAATGGTAAATGGTAAATTGATCTGCCCTCAGGGGAAGTTCTGCAGTGAAATGGTTCACCGTCAGAAAAGCTGTTCTTACTCTTTCAAAAGAATAGAAATATATAAAAATATATATTAAATATAATATATACACATACATTTTCATTTATAATTTTAGACGACATGAAATTAAACACGTTTAGCACCTTTTTTTGAGCACTGTGTATGCCAGCAAAATTCTTATGCTGACAAACACAGTGTATTTCAACATACCTCAGCAAGTTGAAGTTCTAGTCCTTCAAGGCACTTTGATGACGAAGACATTTTCAGTAAATTTGCACAGTCACCTTGTTTTGAAAAGTGCTGGATATCTGAGAATTTAAAAAAATTAATTAATAAAGCAAATAATTTCAATTTTATTAACAGGAAAACAAGTTGCGGTCATGCTACCATAATTGCAAAGCTCAGCTCAAAATATAATATTTACAATATACATGTATATGAAGTTATTATAATATATCTATATATATATATATCTATATATATATATATAAAATATTAATTATATATATGGGGGCTCTCGTGGCCTAGAGGTTAAGGTGTTGGCCTCTCATTCAAAGGTCCCGGGTTCGAATCCGGGTAGCGACAGAAAAATTTTCTTCTCTAAAATTGTCTCCTTTCACCTCCTTTTCTGCCCTCTAGCAATGTTCTGTTGTCTGCTTTCACTTCCACTTTCTGCCCCCACCCCCTCACCCCGTCACATCCTTTGCCCCTTCCTCTGGGCTCCTGACTCTTTCTGCAGCCTTTCTACTGCTACTCCTTGGCTCCTCCTTACTGCTGTCTTTCTGCCACATCCCTGATCTTCTGGTTGGAAAGATCTACACCTAGCCTTCTCGGACAAGAGCGAAAAATCTCGGAGGGCCCGTGTGCAAGTTGCCCACGTTAAAGATCCCTTGGTGGTCTAAAATCGATAAGAGTAGGCTTCGGCCGCCACCCGGGCAAAATTCAAAATTTCCTACCAACTGAAAATATTAGGTGTGTCCCGCGCGCTCATATGACCTATGCAGTTGCGAGCGCCGTAAAACACTTTACAAAAACAAAAACAAACAAATTATATATATATATGTTATATTATATTTATATATATATATAATAATAATACTCATCTTTCAATGAAAAAGCAGCAGTAAAAGATCAAATTCTTCTAAAAAAGGATGGTCAGTTTAATTACAAATAATTCAACCACAAATACTCCAGATTTATATCACAATCTTACACACACGATCCCATTGCATGCAAAATAGGTGCAAGCACAGGAAGTAGAAAATTATCTGTACGCATAATTAGTTTTAACATTAAATGATAATTTATAACAATATGTTCTCATCAAGTCTTGCATCATACGGTAGGCCAAGAGCTCCAACTCCAAGACAGTTTACACAGTGTTTCATTGTACACCAGTACCGTATTCTTAATCAGTGACCTAGAAAGACCATACGCTTGGAACGTGGACAATGATATAGTATAGATAAGACTTTCCCACTCATCAAACTTACAATCTTAGCCATAAAAACTAATCATACTAGTCAAAGCATCCCGTAAAAGTGTTCACAGCGAAATCTGGTCACTGTAACACTGTAATGGGATCACACTATTCTTCCACGTTTTGCTCTCTACATTTCTCTATTTTAAAGTTAAAGTAAACAGAGATCCATATTGCCTCTAAAAAATGGTTTGAGTAGATGGTAAAGGTATGGTATAAGATCCAACAAACACTGCACTTTAATCTATTTGTTATGAAAAGTTAAAGGGATCATGGTAGACAAACTCCAAGTGTGACCAAATCTATCAAGATTTCTGCTACAATACGAATAAGAGGAAATCCCCTTGACAACCTAAACTTAAGTACAAGAACATCTTGCTTAGAGGATTACATAAAAGCATTAGGATTGGTAAGAGAAGGGTTACTAGAGTAGAGTAGAGGTGGAGTAGAAGTAAACCTGCTGCCCATTGGAGGATCGGTTCGGTTCAGTTCAGTTTCTGGCTGCTTCAGTGCACACTATAAAATAGACCAACTGCTCAAACCGATTGCCCAAAGTGCGGCCTTGCAAGAAAGAGCGTTTGTTATTGAAGGTCATTATCGGTTTTGTCAGTTTTGCCTCTCCTGTGGACAACAATGACAATCTGACAAGCCCCAAACTGACAAAACTGAACCGAACCACCAATACAGTCTACAATGACAGTAAGTCACTTAAAACCTACTATAGTGGAACCTCTGTAAGACGGCCACCCATTGTCAAACAGGTGGCCGTCTTAGGCAAGACTGATCAAAATGAAGAAAGCAAACCAGTTATGTTTGAGGTCCCAAACGAAGGTAACAGCTTTGTTGTACTTGTTTTTGTTTCGTTGGTTTGTTTTTTGTTTGCTTATTTTATTTTGTTGCTGATTTTGTGCCAGGATGACACATAAAATGACATGTGTCAGACAAGGAAGACCAAGTGCCATGGTAAAACAAACACATGGGTCGCCACCACTCGGAGAACGAGCGACGCAGCTGTCTCAAGTTCATGTTGCCGTCCATTGTTAAAGACAGGGTAAATAGTGACCGGTCACCTCGATTACGATTTGTGTATGAGTTCTGGGCCGGGTCTATGGGTCATGAGGGATCACACGCTTAAATGGTGGCTTACCTCACCAGCAGCTGAAAATTTGTTACCGATTGGATTTAATTATTGGTCAACAGAGGGAGGAGCCAACACACCATGATCGGTTGGAGGGACTACCAAATAACAGCACGGACAGGTGATTTGATAATGACGACTCGCCCACAACGCCAGGGGCCAATACACAGTTTATGGCAAAGCGCAATGGAGTCACAAAGGGGGCTGTCTAAGATAGGGGTTAATGTTTGGTGTGATAGGGATTGTTTGTTAAAATACAGCGGCAGTGCCCGCATTGGACAGGTGGCTGTTTTACACAGTAAAATTATAGAAAAAACGCAAGTGGGGGAAAGGAAAGTGGCCGTTTTATAGAGGTGGCTGTCATGGCAGGTTCAAATGGATTGCAGGGTTTATAATAATTTTTTTTACAGCGCTCGCAACTGCATGCATAAAAGATCATGCACGCGGGACACATTTTAAAACATTTTCAGTATGTAGGAATTTTTTAATTTAGCCCAGGAGAGGGGCCAAAGGAGGTGAGGGGGTGAGGAAGAAAGTGTGGAGATGAAAGCTGACAACAGAACATTGTTACAGAGTAGGAAAGGATGTGAAAGGAGAACATTTTAGATTTAGAGACGAATATTTTCCGTCGCTATCCGGATTCGAACCCTGGACCTACTGAATGAGAGGCGAACACCTTAACCTCTAGGCCACTAGAGCCCCATTGTGGTCTTTAGCTCAGAAGTGTGTGCGATGAGACTGAGGAGAAGAGGTGTACACATTTAGTTTTAATTTCAACTTCTATCTAAAATCATGTCGGTGTTGATAAAAGAAAAGACCAAAAAGTATGCTAGCCGATGTAGCCTAGTCTTTGTACTTACATTCTTACACATGAGTTGACTGCAAAAGAAGACAAGTATCCATCCAAACTGAAACTGCACATGTTAGACCACAGGGCAGGGCAGGGCCAGTTGTTCAATTTGCTGCAGGCCTAGGCGTCTGATTTATTGGGGATATAATATAATAGAGATTTATATTTATATTCAAAGTGACTTAATTTCTCCAAACGTTTGGGAAAATAAAGCTGAACTCTATTTCTCCTAACCTAACGGTTTCCGATCTCGAGATGTTTTTGGTCATTTGTGAGATTTAGGCATCATCCTTTCATTCTGCGAAGACTGGGAAGAAGCCTTTTTTGCATCAAATTCAATTTCTAGAGCTAGAGATTTTTAAAGGTCTGAATATTTAGATACTTCAGTCGTGGTTGGGGCAACATTCCCGGACATACTTCATTTGAAAATACCTCCAAAAGGTACTGCGAAAAAACCAGACTGCTTGACCTCGGCAGTAACCTATTTTGCATTTAGTCACCCAGCAAAAACTAAAATCCTTCATGTAAAAAAAAAATCCCTCCACGCTCCCCCCCCTCCCCCCAATCCGTTCACACCTTACACACACACACACGGGCCACTCCATTCGCTTATTTACAACAAATCTCGAGAACGGAAACCGTTAGGAGAAATAGAGTTCAAGTTTGTTAGGTGGCAATTGACAAAAATTGACTTTTTGTCAATTGCCACAGAGGAAATTGGAGCTCTTTTGCGTTTGTGGGTAGATCTAGCTTATTGTGCTCGAGTGCTCGGTGTTGTGTGTTCGCCTCTCTCTCTGTGTGTGTGTGTGTGTGTCTTTTCCTGACCCCCGTCCCCCGATTTATGTTCCCCGATATAACGTGAATTTCTGCTTGAGTTTGTGTGCGTTTGTGACCTTCTAGAATTGCCTGTGTTGGTTCTACACCAAAGTGTAGGCTAAGGCTAGCCTAGATCTAGGCCTATGTCTCATTGAAACCACGCCAAGTTGGTACCGTAGCTCTAGACTAGATGCTCGTCCAATGAAATTAGTTGAGAACAAATTGACCCATTGGACACACATTACGTATAATGCTAAAGATAGTGTTGTTTTCAGACTTGACACCGCTTCACTCTGTGGCAATTGACAAAAAGTCAATTTTTGTCAATTGCCACCGCGTCACTCGGTGGCAATTGACGCTACCATTATTATTATAGCCTACTCTGCAGGGTTCAGGTAAAACAAAACAAAACCCAAGATACTAGATCTAGATCTTCACTGCACTGTGGCTTGGGATCAAATTTAAAAGCAATCACTCATCAGCATCAGCTCAAGACTCAAGAATACGACCTGACTCGCAGACTCTGCTCTGCTGTCTGACATGTCCTCAGCTCAAAACCATCATTCCATTATATAATTTTGAGGATCTAGAGTCTAGATCTAGATCTAGATTAGATTTAGATAAACAAAGGGCTCTACGAACTACCGTATAAAATCAACCATATCATAAACTAGAAATCAAACTATAATAATCAGGAGGGAAATGTCCTCGGGCTATCTTGAAACGTGGACACAATATTACATCAACTCAAATTAATTAAAAAATTTGTTTTGAAACCTCGCTTCGGCATTCGTTTTATTATGTCGAGTAGGTCTATGTTTTATATTATTCCTACACCCATTGTAAAAATACATGATTAAAAAATGTTTTTGTAAGTGACGAAACAAGACTTTAACTTACCGTCACGGAACCAAAGAATATCAAAAGATAATAATACGATAATAATACAGTCTATTACTATATCATCAAAAAGAAAACAGAAACATTTATACATGTATCACTGAAAAAATGTCAAGTGATATAATAAAGGTAACCCCCCCCCTCCTTTCCCCCCATTTTTTTTCTTTGCTTATTGCAAGGAGATTAAAAGTAAGTTCTAAGCTCCTTGGCTTATTGTCACTCTTTCCTCACACATCCCATTCTAGGCTAGATTTTATTTTAAATTAAAATAAATAAATAAATAAATAAATAAATAAAAGAACCGCCTCCTCCCCTCTGCTTTTTGTTTTCCAAACTGTTCCTGAAAGCTTCAACCACTTCGAATCTGATGCGTTTTCATCACTACTTTTGTACAGGCCTGAAAATCGGACTCACCTGGCCTCGGGGTATTCATGATAACTTAGTCTCTTTTCTGTCCAAAGAAAACAAATGCATACCTTTTTGAAAGGGGGGTAGGCCTTTCAGTTTGAGAATGGGCCTTTAATACTCGTACGACGCTTCTGACAACAGGCACGTTGTAAATTAAGACAGATTACATTCGATTTTTTTACCGCTATAGTTTCTTGATGAAAAAAAAAAAAGAGCTATTTATAAAGATAACCATTCACTGACGGTATTATTTCACACTGTACTGCGTGCTTCCATAGTTGGTGGTCTTGAAACACGCTAAAATATTAGTCCTTATTTATGAGTCGGTTCGGGGTGAAAAATGCGAGACGCAAGCTTTAAAACTTATTAGTCGGCCCCTGAAAAGCCTTAAGGAACCATAGTTCTTTTTAAAAAAGTTCGTAACCTTTTTCGTTGTTTATTTCCTTCCTTATAGATCTACAGCCATGTTTTCAAAGATTATTGAGATTTTTGTCCTTAACACAACTATAGTCTCACAAATAAAATGTGTAACGACAACGAAATAAAACATAGTTCATGTTGAAGATAGATCACTCAGTCACCAGTCTATAGGAGTCGTCTGGTATGAACTAGCCTTTAAAAAAGTGTTTCGGAAAGAGAGAGAGAGAGAGAGAGAGAGAGAGAGAGAGAGAGAGAGAGAGAGAGAGAGAGAGAGTTCCGAACGATGACATTGACCCGCTTTCAGCCTCTGTAAAATGTCCGTTTTGGCCGCCAGATGTCTCCTTCCATAGGCAGCATCATCTTCCTCTTCGTACATTTTGTCGTAATTCTCCTTCTCCAGTTGGTTCACACCTCCACCTCTTCGACTCCCTTTCGTCCTCTTTCATCACCTCCTGCTCTGGATCCTTACATTCCTAGCGGTTACCCTAGACCACCCCGGCTTTGTAGCATCTCCTGTGTTTCATGGAGGAGAGAGAGAGAAGGAGGAATTTTTGTGTGTTTTTTTTTTAGTAAGTGTTTTACAGCCCTCGCAACTGCATAAGGTCATATGAGCGCGCCGGAAATTTTGTATTTTGGCCGGGTGACGGCCGAAGCCTACTCTTATCGATTTTAGACCAACAAGGATTCTTTAATGTGTGCAACTTGCACACGAGCCCTCCGAGATTTTTCGCCCTTGTCCGAGAAGGACCAGAAGATCGAGGGTGTGGCTGAAAGACAGTAGTAAGAAGGAGCCAAGGAGTAGCAAGCAGTAGAAAGGCGGCAGAAAGAGCCAAGAGCCCAAAGGAATGGGCAAAGGGGATGAGGGGGTGCGGGGCAGAAAGAGGAGACGAAAGCAGACGACAGAACATTGCAAGCGAGCAGGTAAGGAGGTGAAAGGAGACAATTTTAGTGAAGAATTTTTTTTTTCGGTCACTACCCGGATTCGAACCCGAGACCTTTGAATGGGAGACCAACACCTTAACCTCTAGGCCACGAGAGCCACCGAAGGAGGAATTGAGGAAGAAACCAAAAGACAAAGGCAAAGAGGAAGAAAATGAGATGCAGATATTAAGAAGAAGAAAGTGAGAGACGGAGAAAAAGAAGAAGAAAGTGAGAGGGAGAGATGGAAGAAAAAATCGAGAGACAAAGACATGGTGGAAAAAAAGTGAGAGCCAGCGATAAAGAGGAAAAAAGTGAGAAAAAGAAAGTGAGAGACAGAGAAAAGTGTGAGACAGAGTTATGGAGAAAGAAAGTGAGAGATAGAAATAATGATCACATTGACAGATAGATAGATACCCAGGCATACATGCTTACAGATAGATAGATAGATAGATAGATAGACAGACAGACAGACAGACAGACAGACAGACAGACAGACAGACAGACAGACAGATAGACACACACACACACACACACACACACACACACACACACACACACGCACATATATTATAAACAAAAAATAAAACCAAAAGGTACGTTTTAACTAAAGTTGATTTTATTTACAAAACAAAACCACAAGGAAACCAATAAACACACATAACATTTTATTGCAGCAAAGTAACTTTATTTCTTAGATTTAACTGTACAAAGTTTGCATAAAAACATTCCCTGTAGGTACACATGAGCTCATTTAATTAAGACAAACAAAACCTTTTCAGCTACACCCTGCTATCAACAATCTTTTCCATGCCCTCTGTCCGTGTGTCCGTTACTGGATCAGTCTGTTTGTCCGCCCTCTCCTCCCCCCTCTCTCTCCCTCACACACACACATACCGTACACACATCTTCTCTCTCTCTCTCTCTCTCTCTCTCTCTCTCTCTCTCTCTCTCTCTCTCTCTCTCTCTCTCTCTCTCTCTCTCTCTCTCTCTCTCTATCTCTCTCTCTTTCCCCCCCCCCCCACATCCACAAGAACTTACTCACTAATGTTCTCACAGGCACAATATATGAATACACAGAATTATGAAACGACAAGGTATATTTTAGAAAAGTATAGTTTAATTTTTTTTTAAACTACGACAGTAAAACCAATGAAAACATTATTATCATTTTGTGGTGGCACTTAATTATTAAGTAACTTTATTTTTTAGCTTTAACTATACAAAATGTACATTAAAACGTTCCCTGTATGTACACACGAACCCCTTAAAACAGGAAAGCACATTTGCACCTAACCAAGCACTTACACTCTGATGTACTTGCTGTGCAATATGTACATACACAGACAAAACTATGAAACCATAAGATAAACTTGACAAAAGCAGAGTTTAATTACAAAAGTAAAAAAGTAAAACCACCCCCCCAAAAAAAACAACAACCCAACAACAACAACAACAAAACAACAACAACCCCAAAACAAAACAAAAACATAAACCCAACAAGGAAACCAATGAACACATTATCATTTAATGGCAATTGATTATATACTGTATTTTTTAGATTTCTTAGCTTTAATTAATTATACAAAATTTTCATAAAAACGTTCCCTCTATGTACACAGGAACGCGCGTTTGCACCTACACAAGCTCAAGGAAACAAATGAACGGATACTATTATACTAAGGCAGTTTAATTAAATTACTTTATTTCTTAGCTTTCACTGTACAAAATGTCCATAAAAACAGTCCCTGTATATACACACGAACTCGTTAAAACAGGACCACGTCTTTGCAGCCAGACCCTGCTATCTACAATCTTTTCCTTGCTCTCAGTCCGGGTGTCCTGCTACTGTATGGTCTGTTTGTCCAACAATCTCTCAATCTCTCTCTCTCTCTCTCTCTCTCTCTCTCTCTCTCTCTCTCTCTCTCTCTCTCTCTCTCTCTCTCTCCCTCCCCCTCTCTCTCTTTCTCTCTCTCTCTCTCTTTCTCTCCCTCACTCTGTTTCTCTCTCTTTCTCACGTACACGCACGCACACGCACCCACACACACACCCACCCACCCACACACACACACACACACACACACACACACACACACACACACACGTTCTCTTTTCTTCTTTTTCCTTTTCTTTTTCTTCTCCCCCCCCCCTCTCTCTCTCTCTCTCACACACACACACACACACACACACACACACACACACACACACACACACACACATACGCACACACACACACACAAATGCAGACACACACACACAGAACACACACACACACACACACACACACACACACACACACACACACACAAACAAGCTTCAAAATCGTCAAGCCGACAGACGAATAACTCAGATACATCCTAGTTGGAGACAGTTGCACGTATGGAGAATTTGATGAAGAGAAAACTTTGCTGAACTAAACGTCTAACTTAGTCTGATAGATCAAAGTCTGAGGTCCATGGTGGAGAGATGGAGAACGCAGACGTGCCCTGGTTGAAGACAACTGCGCCATGTGGAGAATCCCTGTCAGAGAAAACGTTTCCAGGAGATTGCCACTCAGACTGACCCAACATCCAGACGGAAGGTGTTGTGAGAAGGGGCTAAGAATTGCTGACTTCCACTTTACAAAGATCTTGGTAGAGAGGCGGCGAACTCGGAGCAAGGTTGACTGGGGCGACTCCGCTGTCAGGATATGCCGTTTGAGGAAGAAGGTAGCACGGTGTCTCCTGGGGGTCTGGGGGTGGTGGGGCAAAGAACTGGTTATTTAAGTCCTCACTCTTATGACATTCCGTTACAGAAGAAGAACAGCTGTCTGGAGATGACCGATTCGCTTGAGCAGAGTCTGAAGAACTCACGGAGCTCACAGAGCACACAGAGTCCTGCCTCACGCGACATTCTGGTGTATCCTCGTCCTTGAGAATCCCAGCAATCTCCCAAATGTCTGCTCGTTGTGTCGGGGATACAACCAGAAGACGCTGAAGACAGTGTTTGTGTTGTGGCTTGAGAAACGAACCGATCTCCACTTTGTACAGATAGTCGATGTTATCGCGCGGAGCAGTCCCGTAGAACAAAGCCCACAGCAAGATGCCCAGGGAGTAGTTGTCCATCTTGAAGGCGTTGTGAAATTGGCTGTCGTCCAACTCTGGTGGCAGATAACCATCTGTGCCTCTCCAGCCGTCAGGCTTGTCTGTATCCTCGGGAATGACCTGAGAGTGACCGAAGTCACATAGTTTGACCACGCCGGCTCTGTCTACGAGAACGTTCTCTAGCTTGAGATCTCCGTGGATGACGCGCTTACCGTGCAAGTAGCACATGACGTCCGTGAGCTGACTTGTGTAGGATTCCGCCTCGGAGTAGGTCACGTCAAGCAGTATACGGTAAAGATCTGTGGGGAGGTACTCCATCAGAAAGCCCAGGTAGGACGGGCACTGAACAGCAGCCAATACCCTGACGATGTTAGGGTGCTCCAGGGATTGCAAGAAGGACAGCTCATGTTCAAAGGAGGACCATTTCCACATCCTCTGGGTGTCGTCGTCATCCTCAAACAACAAGAACTTCTTCAAAACCTTTTTCGCCCTCGGTTGTCGAACTCTCGCGGCTAAGATCACCTCCGAATAGCCTCCGTCGTCCAGAAGTTCTACCTGAAATAGTGAAAGGAGAAAACAGGATTAGATAAATGAATGGAAGCTGTATGAAACAGTTGCAACAATATAAAACATATGGATGGACTAACAATTGAATAAATGAAATGAAATGATAGATGACCAAGAAAAGGGGAGGTGCAAATGTAAAAAAACAACAACAACAAAAACAACAAAACACACAATATTTTAAATATTTCTCCTTCTGAAGGTCGATTGTTCGTACTTCAGAATAAAACAAGGAACACACAAGTACTTTTAAATGCAAAAAAAATTTAATAAATTCTTGAATTTGCCACATTTCTTAACGTCGATACCTAATGTGTCTATGGTGTAGCGGTTAGGCGCTTAGTTATCCCTCAGAAAATATCCGAGTTCAATTCCGTAGTGAGGACAGTGAGGGGATCTTTTATCGAATACATTTGTATCTCGTTTTTTAAATTCTTGGATGGTTTGTCCCTCTCAGCCTGGGCTGGCCCTGACAAGCAGGGTCGTAAGCCTGCTTCCTAACAACTCTTAATTACGTCGATGGGTTTGTAAAAACAACTACATTTTAAAAAAACATCCCTAACATTTCGTGGTGATGACCCATCTGTACACACACATACCATGTACTAGTAGAAAATCCTTCAACACCAGCGACTCTAAGAATGTGGAGTGTGGGGTGTTTTAAATTATTTTGTTTTCACTTTACAAGAGTAAAGGAAATGACAATACTTTGTACGTTATTCATAGCCTAAGAAGAGACTAAGAAGCAGTCATAATCACAGGAGGGATATGACAACGTATTCAAAGAGCGTTGTTTGTTCTGCTTGTTGTGGAGTTAACTTTGTTGTGTTAGTTTTGAGTCTCAAACAAGATAGTTTTGAGGTTAGTATGGAAATTGATTTATACAGTAGCAACTTATTTATGGCCTTTTACGTTTTGATAGACGAACTTAAAACAGCATGCATGAAACAGTTTTGTCTGTGCGGTAGAAATAGAGGGAGCTTCAATAAATAATAGTTCGTCGGTCAATGTCTGACGATGGCCAAGACATCCACAGAAGTGATTCTCTAGAGAAATAGAAGAATTAAAGGTTAAGATGACTTGTGGCCTCTGCTAAGGCCGAGGGAGCAACGATGATCTTAATACGAAAACTTCACCTTTCTTCTCTGATGGTATAGCCTGTGTTATTAGTATGGTAAATATTATACTTCCTGACTGAGCTAGAGTGTGATAGCTGTAAAAACACCGGTCTCGTTATGCGGGATAACAGATTAGATTCAAGCAGAGATTTATTGAAATATTTTTTAAAGGAGTTTTGTTATCACGAGAAAGTTTTTACCCCTCTCTGACACTTGGTCAGTCCTTCCGAAGACGTGAGTGAACATTTAGATATAACCCCTTAATTGACAAAAAGTCGGCTCCTTACAACTTGAACTTTTATCTGTACATATCAAAATCGAATGGAATGCTTCTTCTGTTCTGAAGTGGTTGTCATACAAATTAAATGAGCTTAACTTGTGTTGAAAGACAGAGTGCCGCTTAAAATCAACAGAATTCTGGTAGACAAAAACAAGCAAATTTATACACTCTCTGTTAACCAGGTGTGTATGCGTGTGTGTGTGTGTGTGGGGGGGGGGGGGGGGTGGGTGTGGGTGTGTGTGTGTGTGTGAGTGTGTGTGTGTGTGTGTGTGTGTGTGTGCGCGCGCGTGTGTGTGTGTGTGTGTGTGTGTGTGTGTGTGTGTGTGTGTGTGTGTGTGTGTGTGTGTGTGCACGCGTGCGTGTGAGGGTTTTGAGCAGGGTTAATAATAAACTATGTCAGTGGAAGTATCAGTGTCGTTGATGTTATAGTTAGAACTTTAAGGTACGCTGCAACCTTCACATACTCTGACATTTCTGTCTGATCTCGAACTAGTCTATTTTTCATGAAAATCAGTGGCTAATCCATTTACTTACGACACATGCATATTTCCATTAAATGATTGCATGTAATACATTGCATTCTTACATTTTAAAGATTCGTTATGTAAAATAATAGCATACTTTATATGAGATTCATTAAACAAACATGACTTGTGACACACATGACGAAGATATTAAAAGTTGAAGCATCTAGACCACAAAATTGATAGTAAGGCAACTTTTCAAACTACAAAAAAGTTTTAAAAAGCATAGTATAAAACTTATGAAATATAGCAAAGAACTGCAGCGCATTTTCTAACATTGTTATTAGCAAAATACACATGTATTTTAATTAGCAAAGCAATGTGTTAAAAACAAACGTAAAAGTCAGAACATTTCTAAGACAACGTACCTGGTCCATCCTCAAAAGCTCCAAGGCGTCTTTGTCCAGGACTTTGTACTTGGCCTCCTTCAACACCGGCATGGTTGCTTGATACTTGATGGTAAAGAGTGTAGAAGAAAAAAAACCCACTAGGGAAATCCTCAAAGAAGTAAATTTATTGGAAACGTTTTTCAAGTCTTTGAATCTCACGAACAGCACAGAGCACAGTGTACCAACACACTCGTATACCAGACAGCAGAACAAGATAACTGATTCTAAAGTCCGAGATATACACTTTGGAAATCTTCAGCTCTATGCAGAACACAAGATAGCAATATCAAGAGCTATAACCTCACTAAGACGGGAAATCGAATGGAAAGAAAATTTCAGAACAAGCTCTTATATATGGAGAGAACTTCATAGGTACCCTCACTTACAAACAGCCCAATCAAATGTCTTTAAAATATTTCAATGACCATCATCAAAATTCAAAATCTTTAACAAAAACAACCCGAGGCAAGCCAGTCCAGGATCTTATGACATCATCATCTCTATTGTCCGCCCTACCCTGTTAGGAGTCTCCTGACTCCCATGGACCTAACAGTTCAATTGCTTCATTGATCACTTATCAAAACTGAAAAAATTAACAAAAGGCTGGGGGATATACGGATATGACAAGCGAGCTTTTTAATCTTGGTTTGTGTCTGGTATTTTCTGTGGGTCTTCGACGTAACCGCCATAGGTGGGAAAACTGGACAATGGGTGACCGCTAGGAGCGGTGAAGGGGGTATGATATAGTTGAGCCTTTATCACAACACTAGTCCTCTCGTAGAAGAAAAACTTTAATGAGAGCATTTCTATGATAAAAAACATTAAAGAGAGAGAAAATGTTTCATCACCCTGACTTTTATTATGTTATCACACACACACACACACACACACACACACACACACACACACACACACACACACACACACACACACACACACACACAAACACTAAGGACGCATGATTTATATATCATGGTAAGTCGTGGGTTGAAATTTCTGACACTCCAAAACCGTAACAGTTGAAACTCTCAAATATTTTTAAATTAGAGGATACAGTTGTACTTAGGATTAGATAAGCGTACCTTTCTCTCAGTTTCTGACAATATTTCTCAATGACGAAACAAGTTCGTTTCTCTCTCATTGTGCATAAATTCTACACGAAGGTCTACCACTGACGAGTCTTTGTTCCTAATTTTTTTACTTTTTATTTTTTTCTTTCTTGTTTTTGTGTGTTTGTTTTTTATGCTTTATTTTTCTATTTCATTTCTTTTTATTTACTTGTGAGGGAGGGGTTGGTTTTTTATTGTTGTCCGCTCGTTGCTGATTTTTTTAAGGGGGG